CGGCCCATATACCCCGCACCCTCCCTCCCCGGAGCCCAGCCGCAGGGCCCCCCCTTGCCGAGATACACCCCCCCCCCCCGAGCCCATTGATACAGAGGGAGAAACAGCAGCCCCCGCAGCCCATTTCTGTCAGGGGGAGACACAGAATTCCCCCAGGAGCAGTCATTAGACCTGGTTACTGGGCCGGCGGAAGATCTAAGTCTGGTCCTTAGGGGGCACTGTGGTGCCAGGAGTGGGGCGGGGATGCTCTCCCCACCGTCAGCACCAATCCCTTTGTGTCCTTCCCAAAAATCACTATCTGTTAACCAGCAGCCCTGCCCCAGAGGTGGCTGCATCTCAGCGCCGGGCGAGGGGTCCCTGTGTAACCGGCCGCCCCGCCCCAGAGGTGGCTGCATCTCAGCGTCGGGCGAGGGATCCCTGGGTAACCGGCCGCCCCGTCCCAGAGGTGGCTGTATCTCAGCACTGGGCGAGGGGACCCTGGGTAACCAGCCGCCCCACCCCAGAGGTGGCCGCATCTCAGTGGCGGGAGGGAGTTGGGGTTCACCTCCATTCCCTTTCTCTTATAGCCCAATCGTGCTGACAGTGGCCAAGTGCTGGGACCCTTCCCCCCAGGGGTACTTCACGCTGCCCAGGAGTAAGTACTGAGGCCCCCAAACCGTCTCCGCGATTTGCCAGCTCTTTCCGCCGGCGTCTCCCCCTTGCCTCGGAGTTTGGGGGCGAATGGGTGGCCCCCCTCTGAAGGATGGGGGCATCTTGCACCTTACAGCTGTGATCTCTGGGGTCCCCGGCTCCGTGGGGTGGCGATTTTGGGGCGATGTGGTGTTTGGGGTGCGGGTGGCCGGTGTCCTCCCAGGTCTGGAATTTCGGGGTGCTTCGTGGGGGGGGGTTGACGGAGGAAGAGAGAAAATCAGCGATGTGTGGGGGGCTTCTCTGGCTGGTTGGGGGGTTGTGTACGGGTGTGGGGTGTAGATAGCGGGGGGGGCTGCCCTGTCTATGAGAGTCATTGGGGAATGAGATGGGGGGGGCTGCCTTTTGTGAACCAACTCGGCCTTTCCTCCCGCCCCCCCCCACACCCAGATGAGCCCATCCAGCCCATCGACCCGGCTGCCTGGGTCTCCCACTCGGCCGCCCTCACCGGTGCCTTCGCCGCCTATCCCGGGAGCAGCTCCATGAGCACCATCACCTCCGGCAGCTCCGTCGCCGAGACTGAGCGTGAGTAACGGCACACCCTAGAGGGGACGGGCCCCACCCCGGGCCCCGCCGTGGGGCCGGGTGGGGGGCACTGGTCCCATCGCTCCTCTCTCTGCAGGCTTCGACGAGTTCAACCTGTCGGTGCACACGGACATGGCATCTGTCACCAAGGCCATGGCCTCGCCGGAGTCGGGGCTGGAGGTCCGCGACCGCATGTGGCTGAAGATCACCATCCCCAATGCCTTCCTGGGTACGTCGGCCATCAGGGGGCGCCGGCGAGAGCGGGCCCTGCTCCACGGCGCCCCCTAGCGCCGCCGTGGGGCCAGCCCTGCCTGCCAGGGGAGAGCACCCCCTGCTGAGCCCCCCACTGCCCACAGCACCCCCTAGCGCCGCCGTGGGGCCAGCCCTGCCTGCCAGGGGAGAGCACCCCCTGCTGAGCCCCCCCACTGCCCCACAGCGCCCCGTAGCACCGCCGTGGGGCCAGCCCTGCCTGCCAGGGGAGAGCGCCCCCCGCTGACCCCCTGCCCCCTCTCCCCCAGGCTCGGACGTGGTGGACTGGCTCTATCACCACGTGGAGGGCTTCCAGGACCGGCGCGAGGCCCGGAAATACGCCAGCAGCCTGCTGAGAGCCGGCTTCATCCGGCACACGGTGAACAAGATCACCTTCTCCGAGCAGTGCTACTACGTCTTCGGGGACCTGCGCGGCTGCCAGAACTGTGAGCCCCTTGGGGACTGAGCTCTGGGCTGGGGGGCTCTGGGGGATGCCGAGCCGGGCTGGGGTGTCTTAAACAAGGGGATTCCCCCCTGTCTTTCCCAACCTGGGATCTGTCAATCACTGCATCCCTCCCACCCACCCCCGGGCCTACGAACCCCCACCCTGCTCAGCCCCCCCTCGGCCTGTGGGCTCGGGGTGGTGGGGCCGGGGAGGAGGTTACAGGGTGCGGGAGCCAGGACTCCTGGGTTCTTTCCTAAGCTCCTTGCCCAGCAAGCCGGTCAGACCACCAGCCTGGGGCCGGGTGGGAGCCAGCGTCCCCTAGAGGGGACAGGCCCCTGCCCCATTCCCCGCCCCCCTGAGCCAGCCAGTCCCTGCCCTGGGGCCGGGTGGGAGCTGGCTTTCCCTAGCTGGGGCGGAACACCGCTGGCCTGCGCGGCTGACCCTTCCCTTCTCCCTTGCAGACATGGCCAACCTCTCCCTCAACGACAACGACGGCTCGAGCGGGGCGTCGGACCAGGACACGCTGGCCCCGCTCCCGCTGCCTGGGGCCACGCCCTGGCCCCTGATGCCCACCTTCTCCTACCAGTACCCAGCCCCGCACCCCTACAGCACCCAACCCCCACCCTACCATGAGCTCTCCTCCTACAGCTACGGCATGGGCAGCGCCGGCAGCCAGCACAGCGAGGGTGAGCGGATGCCTGGGTTCCATCCCCCGGGAGGGGAGTGGGGTCCAGTGGGTAGAGCGGGGGGGGGTGCTGGGAGCCAGGACTCCTGGGTTCTCTCCCCGGCTCTGGGAGGGGAGTGGGGGCTGGTGGGTTAGAGCGAGGGGGGTCTGGGGAGCCGAGGACTCCGTGGGTT